TTATTTTAAAGTGAGAAAAGAAATGCTTTGGTTAATGAGTGGTTAAATCTACCATGGGCCTCACTCAGCTAATTGTTCTCAAAAACAATTGCAAATCATTCCGTGTTTTGACATTAGGTTTTAAAGTTAACTGCTGCAGAGTTACATTTTAGTCCATTAACATTCACCCTAAATATTTCTAAAGAGGGATTTTTTAAATTTTGCAAGGGGTCACAATATTTTACAAATATGAATTTTTCTTTCCACAAACTAAAACATTTTCTACGCGGTGATAAATGGTGTTTTAAAGGTACCAGCTTGCAATTATATTTTTAAGTATATAAGTTTCTAATTTTCATGGTAACAGGTACCATAATTATAATTTAGCAAAGAACCAGTGTTAATTTAGTGCAATCAGACTTTTAAACTAAAATTCTTTAAAAAAGGGGCATCATTCCATATGACAAGCTCTTTCAGTCATACAATGCATCAAAATTTCTATTAATAAAATTAGATCTTGTTATGTTACTGATATGTAAGAAGACATTGCATTCACAGGTTTGAATCTCTCCAGTAAACACTCCTATTAAAACCCACAGTTCACTGAAAAGACAGGGTTAATTTTAACAAACATATTTAAATGCATCTTCTAGGCATTCTGATAACGGTGTGCTGTAGCTTCAGCATTTTATGTGGGGTGTGATCCCGCCGTGTAGTCAGGGCTGGCTGGAGGCGGGGAGGAGTGGGGCAGAGGGCCCAGGCCGTGCCTCATGACGGAGCTGTCACCCAGTGCTTGGGAGATGGCGGGAGAGCTCTCATGAGCCTCCAAGCCCAGGGGACCAATACAGTTCTGTGGTTTCTTCGTCTAGCAAACATCAGTAACCTGATTTAATTAGCTATGTCGGCATTTTGCATTCTGCCAGATTGCGGGCAGTCCTCTTCCTCATTGTAACCTTCTCTCTCTCGTTGTTCATAGGCAAAGGAACAAGGAATGGTTTTACCGAAATAGGAGGTGTTAAGCAGAAGGTCTCTATGAGCCAAGCAGTGGCAGCGGTGGCAGCAGATGTGACTTCTCCATCAGCTTTTGATTGCATTAATAGATGTTGAGCCAAATGCTACATAGTTAGTGATTTTGTGGCTATTTCGTCTTCTGTTGTAGCTGCCACCCACAATGTTTGCACTACCTCCTCCCACCTTTCGACAAAAAAGGCGGTTTGTACAGCTACTCTCATGTCATTTCTTTTACACAGCAGCAACAAAGTTTGCAATGTCTGTTTATCATATTTTACCCCTTGTTTGCCTAACATAAGTGTCCATACATTTACTGCATCTTTTTCTTTGGTAGATACCTGTGTTCCCACTTTTTCCCCAGTAGCTCACCTTCCCAAAATTGCAGTCTGGGCTTCTTTTTTCAGCTCTGCACGCCATGTAATTCTGCAGCTCTCCTTGCTGCAGTTTTTCTTGGAAGCTCTCCTCACCACCTCCCCTGTTTTGGCAGCTCTCCTCGTTGCCTCTTCTCTGGCACCTCTCAGGCTGCCTCCATCTGTGCCACTCTCCTCACAGCCAGCTATTGCTATCACGTGGGATCACGTCCACCCATAGATCATGTCCAACCACGTCCTATCACATTGGGATCACCAGATGTTGCAATAGAGATGGACAAGGACATCTCCTTCTTTATTCACCACAGGCAATCTTTATTCTCCATAGCTTATATTTGTATGGTTATCAGAAGGCATCATGTTTAATTCCAATTGGTTAGCAACTTTTTGCTTCCTCGGTTCATTGATTGGTAATGGCTAGTGTACATGTTCATCAAAAACTTTCTTTTCTAGATATGTTTACATTCTTATCTCCTAGGAAGTCAGTGTCATGGTTTGACACCGGCGCTATGCCAGTGTCCTCATGAAAATACATTCTCCCTGGCGTCTGCTGCGAGATATGACCAGGAATAAGCAAAGCAGGCCCCCACTTAGAAATAAAGACAAGAAAACTTTATTAACTGAACTACAACTCTAATTAACAGGAAACACACAGGGAAAATGAAAACTTTCCAAAAACATTTCCTCCTCCCCCCACCAAATTTCTAATATATCTACCCCCCAAATCACCAACTCTGGGTCCATTACCACCCTTCAGACAATCAATTCTCAGTTCATCAAGAGGAGAGGAGTCCTTCTTGTGCCATAGGCTTCCCCTGGAAACACCATTGAAACCTCGTGATTTCCATGTTACTCATGGCACCACCCGGAGAACATTTGCCACCGTGACCTCTTCCTTCCATGTCCAGTGCTCTCACCACTGCACACGGACCAGAGCTGCTTCTAGGGTCATCTTTTTAAGGATGCTTTGTCCCGTTCCAAAAAGAGCACAGTCTCACCTTTGGGACACCTGTCCCCCCCAAATTTCACCCCCTGGGGCCGAGGGGTACCAACACTGAACCCTCCTGGCTCCGAGGCATCGCCTCCCCCTGGATGCAGTCTCTGTATCACAGGAAACATGGTTCTGTCCATGGCTATAGAAGAAGAGTCCAGCCAAGGCCACTCCATCATCTCTTCCCACCTAGGATTCTTCTCTACTCTCCTGACATCTTTCACTTGCTCAGACCTTCACCCTTGCACACTTCCTTCTTCCATTTTATCTCTATCTCTCTTCTAGGAAAGGTTAATGTTCTGCGAAGTTTCACGGTCCAAAGAAGAGTTAAAACACTCGGGCTGTGACCACCCAGAGACTCCCACAGTGGCCAGACACCTTCTCGCACACACCCACCTTCTTCTCCTTCTCGGCTGTGCTGCCAGCACCTTAAGTTCCAAGGTAGCAGTCACAGGCACAGGCTGTACTCTCTCTCTCCTGGGAGGGCTGCTCGATGCCTCCTGATGCTTCTCCCACCCTTTCATGCCGGGGCCTCTTCACCTCCCATCTGTCCAAGACCCTGGCCTACCTCACCCGGCTGCATGGCTGCTCCTACCCTGCCCAGCAGCAGCAGCTGGACAGGGGAGAGATCTGAACTCTTTCCCCACCAAAACCCAGGAGAACTTCCCATGGGAGTGCTTTGCTTTTTAACCCCTGTATTCTCAGAGGCATATCCCTTGTCCCCAGTGGCCACACCAGGTGCCAATATTAAAATCTGAACACCTATTGGTGACCAAAGCATATCCCAGAAAACCTACTTCCTCTCAAACCACAACAGTCTTTCACACAGGTAGAATCTTCCTCCTCAAGGTGCAAATTGTTTTCCCACAAGAACAGACTGATATGCAAACGGATACATAAACTCACTGTTAAAATTCCTTTCTCAAGGGAACTTATCAGGCTAGCTGTTAGCTGTACTAGCCAAAGCAGCAAGGCCTGAATTATTATTTTACAAGGTTAGACATTTCCATGATGCCACGGTCTTGTCTGCAGCAAGGAACAGGACCTGGCAACTCTCCTGTCTCTCAAGTGTGGGATGGCTCTGTGTTAATTTCCTTAGCATTTTAGTGTGTCATTTAAGGCAGAACAATCTCCAAAGTGGAATTTTTACTGTTGCTGAGGAGATGGTGACGGGCCATTTCTCCCATTTATTGTCATCAATGCAAGGATTCTGTTGAATTGCTGGCCGCTGCTGCCTTGCTATTTTTCAGATAGATTCAGCTCCTTGCCCTTCACTCTGCTTTAGTTTTCAGATCAGGTATGATGATCACACTCAGTCATGATCAGGCAGGTCAGGTGTCTCTAAAAATTATGCGGTAGGGCTGGAATTCTTCTGGAGGCTGATGATATTGTTGGAATCATCACAGAAAGTGGCAATCCACTTCTGCTACCAGAATGTAAGGGCTTTAGGCAGCCCTGCTAAAAGTAGATGGTTACAGACACCAGACCAACAGCTTAAGGGACAATCACTCCACATCTAAATGCAGTGCATGAGAAAATACAGGTCAGTAGTACAGTTATTTGGGTGATAATAATATTACACAATCCACCACGACTGGGCTGCATCTAACATCTGAGCATACAGACTTACATGACCACATCTGTCAGGCAGCAGGGTACAATCTCTTCTCCACACAAGCGACCTATGCTGGCCAGTGGCCTTGTGGAATGCAAATGCTATGGCTGGACTCTTCTTTTTACCATCAAGCTGTAGAAGTACCATTCGGCTGGTTAGCCAAACTTTACACTCGCCCATGCTCCCTCTCTGTACCAGTTCTGTCTCTAGAGTGCACAAGGCCCTGTAAATCTGTACACGGCAGTACTGCCCCACATTCCTGGATGGGCACAGGCCTGGAAGTACTGTAAAAGGCAGGAAGAGCCTCATGCCTCCCTTCTATGCACTGTCTTGAGAAACTATTTCTTGGGCATACCAGCCTTACAGGCACCCAGTGAGTCTTGGCAAAGGTCAAACTGATGGCTCATGTGTGGAAGTCACCACACAGAATGCAAAATGAATGCATGGGGTAATATCCTGAACAGACAAGAGGAAACAGGTGGAGGCTCAGAAGCAGAAAAAAATCTTCGTTTAACCTAAGAATGACCACAAACACTGCTGACAGTGATCACACCCATTTATACCAGCCTTGCAGTACAGTACGTTAAGGACTAAGAAAAAGCCAAATAGACCAAGATAACAGTGGTGTGGAAGAAAAAGAAACAACTTGAAAGAAAGCATGAAGACAATGTTAAATGATCAAGGAAATTGTACTGCTAAAGATTTTTATTGTTTTTTAAAGAAATACAAATCTTGTAACACTGCCTGAAGTACCACTTGGCCACAGGCCTCTGAAAGACTGTTTCAGCTTCTCAAAGGTGAGTCACGTCTTAAAGGTGAAAAGTAACTGAAACTAGAAACATCAGTGGACGCGCCCAATCTCAAAAGTCTCATGCTCCTTCTTTTCCATTTAAATTAAATTAATTTAAAATAATTAAATTTAACAATAAATAAACACATAAATAAATAAAAACAAAACCAAAATAAAATAAATATTAACAAAATTTTTAAAATTATCTTTAAATAAATTAAAAATTAACATTTCCACCTGCTTAGTTATTTGTATGAATATATTCTGCTCTCTTGCACTGTGGATGTGGAAGTACACTTAAGGAGCCTTTCAGCATATTTGGAGTTAGTATTTTTTTTAACCGAACCGCAAGACTGATTAATTAACATTTACATTCTCATACCTTTTACTGGGTTGAGTAAGCTTTAACTGTAAACTGCATACCTAAACTGTCTGTTATGCTATCTTAAACCCACAGACAACTTACATCAGGTCCCTTGTTTCAAACTTTGTTTTCAACTTAACTGTATTTTCAAGTATCAACTGCACACTCCTCTAAAAAAACCAACTCAGTCAAAAAACAGGCTGGCAAGTAAACACTGAAAACAATGCAATTCCCTCTTATTTTTCCATTTCTAGCTGCCCAGCATGAGGAAGAATGTCAGGAGGCTGTTGCGTCACCTTCTTCCTCATCTTTATTGTAGATACGCTGCTGGTTCTCATGGCTGACGTTTCAACAACCTAAACCAGCTGAGAAAAAAATCAAAACGAATAGAATATTTAGTACCAAGTGTACTTGCTCTTCCACAAGCTATAAAGAAAAGACAGTACTGTGACGATACACTGTATCTGCATAGGTCTTCTTCTACCACAAAACCAGCAAGCAATGCATGGAAAACTACCTCTGTCACATTACTTGGTGTGCTCAGTCAGTTTTTTTCCTGACAATGGAATACGGTCCCAAAGCTGCAGCAACTGCTCTCCAACTTGTGGTTCCAGCTCCTAGAAATGATCAGGAAATCAGGGAAGTTACCTGCACTGCTACTACTGAGCACATAGAAACTATTTATTACTGAATTGTTAGATGACGTTGCTGGTTATTGCTTTCAACCCTTCTGGAAGAGCTCATCTCTTTTGCTATTGGGACAAACATTAGAACTCGCAGCAAAGCAAGCTATTCTTACTAGGGCTGAGCAAGAGGTAAAAACTTTCACAAGCCATCCTGGCCTACAGGCTGTTTGGGGTGTTTTCACTGACAGTGAATTGTCAGTTCTCACAAAGACAATTCCCAGTGAACACCCTACCACCATACACAAGAACAGATGCACCAGACACTTTGTACCTCCCACAGATCAGTCACTTGCTAACTAGAGATCATTATTTTCCACATCTTTTAAGTTGAATTCCATCAAGTGTGGTGAAGAATATGGAAACAGAGGTCACAGGAAATACAGTGGCCATCCTTTCCTTGTACTTCTCCTTTCCTCCAGTTTCTTACAGCTGGAGAGAGGATGTGAAGGAGAGAAAGTAAAACAAAAACTTTAGCTCTTGAATCCTTAAGGAGATGTTCAGGGAGGGGATGGGGAGAGGGCAGAAACTGCCACACAGAAATTTTGTACCAATTCTTTGGCTTTTTCTAGTTGCATTTTTAGAGCTGTAAAAAGTACAAGAACTGTCCTAAGCTTCACTCTGCCTTAAACCTCAGAATTCTCTTCAGGCTTTACAGAAAAAAATTAATAATTTTGAACAGTTATTTGGGTGTAACAGACTATCTAAGAGAACACATCTCAAGCAAATAGGGAACAAACCTCCAGAACTAAATTACAAACTAAAAATCAAACCAAACAACTTCTTCTTGGAAGCATCCACCTTTAAATAAATTTTTTAACACATAAGCAAGAAACTTTTGATTTTATCAAAAGTTTCCATTACTTCAGCAGTAATTCTGCATTAGCTGAAGGTACAATACACTAATGAACTGTGAATTCAGATCAGCAGATACACAAACAAGTGGAGATAAATGTCAAGGCTGAACAAGCTAATAAAAAATACACCAAATACATTCAACCAAATAAAGAAAACTTCAGAAGAGAGTAACATTACCTGGCCATCCCTACTTATCTGTACTTTCTTACTGTCATTCCATGGGTTGAGCAAATGGTGTGCAAACTGAAAAGGAATGCTTTCTTTTCGGATCCAGTCCACCTTAAATACACCTCCAAAACCAGCAGATCCCCAGTCTTGACTTTTCTCACACCCAATCGCTGAACCCATTCTAGCAAAACCCTGGGACAAAAATTGAAATATGAAAGAACAAACATAATGAGGCCATATCAGTCTATGGTGGAATGAGATAAATAACCAAACTTCCTATGAAACTTTCGAAGTAATTTCAAAGTGATTCACACATTCTCCACCACGAAGCTAGAGCTTCCAAAATGTTTACATCCAGAAAGTTAGAAGAATCACTTCTTTTTCCACTTCAAATATGCCTTGCAGGGTTTGACCATATTTGACCATAAGGAATGTCTCTCAATGACAAAATTATCACTAAAGGTTTTATGAGCTTTGTAACAGATTAAAAAGCTGTTGCATAACCACCTGAAGAAGAAGGAAGTTGAGATTAATATTCTACTATAGAACAGTCCATTAGATATTCATCTTGTTTGTTACTTTTAGGTAATTTTTGCAGAAATCCATTTGTTCCTTCTCATGCTCCCTCTATGTTAACTTTCACACAGAATTAGGAGATTGTAGCTGTTCTTCAAAGAAAGAAGTCAAAGTTGCTTTTATTTCCTGCTTTAGTGAAGCCGGATGAAATTCCAACACAACAAGTATTCAAAAAGAAAATGAATTAAATCCCCAACCTGAGACAGCATCTAACTTACTTAAGGATACCCTGATTTACCCACATACCAAACAAACTGAAAGTAAACACAACCCCCCACACAACATATCAATACACCATTCAGGTGTATTTATGCCATTTAGGACTTAGCAGTCCAAAAGATGCAGCTCAGTAAATTACCAGCACACACTGCTGTTGTAAGACAAGCAGTCCTAGATAGCTCAAGCCAGACTTAAATGAGAATTAATAAAAGGAACAGAGGAAAAAATAAACATAGAATAGAATAGAAAGAGATAGTTGGGACAAGAGAAGATTAATAGGGAAGTTAATCTCACATTCCCATGAGGGTGCGGTGCACTGTCAAAACTGGAAGGAAAGGGCAAGGTCAACCACCTACACTCCTGACTTGAGGGTGTCTTCTCTTCCCCACTTTCTTGTCTGAGAGGACCAGTGCAACGGCCCATTTTCAGTGTCAACTGACTTGCTGAAAATTACTTTCCAGTATCTGCATTTGCCAAACCATCATATATAATATGTCACAGCAGTGCTTCAGTGGTATTGCCAAGACAGCTGTGTTTTGGTTGGTTCATTAGATTTTAATTTCAGCTGACTTTTGTAACTAACTTATATGAAGAAGTAAATTGAAATTTCTTTACCTGGAACAACTGAATTTAGCTGAATCACAGCTAACCTGCAACTTTGCATTACCAGGTCAAGTTTTTACTTCAAATTGACCACAGATTTGACCAAAAAACTGTCGACAAATATCTCACTGAATATGAAGTCAAGACAGAGCTCTGCAAGAATCATGGCCAGCTTCCTAATTGGAAGTGAATAAAACCAGTTTTAATCAGAATTATAATAAAGAAATGTGCGAGTTTCTTGGCTTTAGAGAGCTGTGACTTGACAGTAAGTGCTTGCTCACTTACAATACACATTTTTTGCATGCAAACAGTAGCAATCCCCTACTTTGTTAGGATTTTTGTTTCTGGTGGTTGTTGTTTTAGAGGATTAATGTACGGTACAAATATTTTTCTTACTCATGATGTTTGGAGAAAATTCCATTGCAGCTTTGAAATACTCTTTCTTCAGCAAGCACAGACGTTTGCACATTGCTCTGCTTCTCAGAAAGTCAGAAGCCATAAGCAAAGCTGTCCACACCACACACAGTCATTTGCGGCATCCTCCTAAACCATCAACCACTGCTAACAGCTAGTTTAAGATTAAGACCCACCTGAAAGCATCCAGACCCTTGAACAGAAAATATTAAGTAAACCACACTGCTCTCCCAAAAGGCTCCATTCAGTTTCCGTTCATTACTTGGTGTAGTGGACCATATTCCCTTCTGTTGAGAAATATCAATGTTTTGCAAGTTGCTACTTTTCATTATAAAGTATCGAACTGGCATATTTTGTCTTGGTGAAGGAGATTTGCAACCCTGGAAGAAATAAATTAAATTATTAAGTACAATAAACCAGGCTTTATTTCTGAAGTTTCACACACAAGGACAGAAATCCCTTGACTGTGCTCCTCCCTTCCTCCTCCAGGTTCTAGAAGAAACATAAAATCTATCGGCTGGTCCTGTCCAAAATGGCTTTGAAATGTATTTCAAATCTATTTTACATTTTTAAAGCACTTTTCAAAATAATAATTAATCCATGAGGGGCAGAAAGCAAGTAAAGCAGAACAGGATTAAAAAGTCTAGTATTAATTATAATTGGTTTAAGTCTGACACACCTTGAGATGACACCAAAATTAATCATCCAAGATTGCAGCCTACAGCACTACTTGTATTTCTACATTCAGAAAACATGTTTTCTTCCTTTTACACTGTCTTAATTTAAAAGCTGAAAGATTCAAGAGGAATTACTAAATCCTCCAATAAGTCCATGTTTCCTCTCAATGATCTCTTTAGTGTTACTGCAGTCTACTATTCAAGTATATAGGGACAACTATGACAACAATCTCATTTAAAATGTGTGCTTTGTTAAAATAACCATCACAAAAACCCCAAGCAGTCATAGTAAGGCAGATAACACAGATTCAGTATCAATTATGCTATTACAGAAACAGAAAAAAGCAGAATCCAAAAACTTCAGAAGTGTTTGTATAATATACTTATTTAGTTGAAAAAAACTAATACACATTCATTAGAACAAGGGGGTTTTTTTAAATCTCATTTTTTCTAATTTGGAAAGCTTTACCTCAGCAGATGACAAATTATTTTTACTGTATTAAACTAGTGAAACAAGGATAATTAGTCCAGACTTTAAGTTCCAGAAGGAAGTATTACGCAGCTGTTATAAATTAAAAGTTAAGTTAGGTTCCTAATTTATCAGTAAAATACCTAATTGCAGAATGATATCAGCAAGGAATTCTATTACTTTTGAAGAGCAGGGTGATATGTTAGAGAACTCTACCTTTCCAGACACTGGAGAAGAAGGACTAGCACTGGGGCTGGAATAGCTACTGCTGTCTGCAGGCTTCACTGAGGACTGAGCTGATCTGTCATCTGAGGATCGTTTGGAGAGCAAAATGTCTTTTTCTTTGTACTTCTTTGGCTGGTGGAGTGCAGGAGATGTAGATTTCACTGAAACCCTAAAAAGACATACCTTGAGTTTCACAAGCAGTCACTGAACAATTTACATCAACCCGTCAGCCTGCTGCATGACCACATGTATTACAGAAACTACAAAATCTATTAAACCCTAACTAAAAAAGCCATACCGATCATGCATTGCTTTTTAATGCTACTGTTAAACCTCTTCTGCTACTTCTCAAACATCGCAATTCATGGACAATATTCCTGACTGCTCTCTCAAAAAAGCAGGCCCAGGTATGAAATACTTCTTTATGGGATTACAATGCAGCATATAACAGTATAACACCTTTGAACTGTATTTCCACCATTTCCACCTCCTTATTACTAGCAGAAATTTAAGTGATGCTTGTATACATAATTTGCAACCTACAGTGAGCAGAGACCTCAATATCTTACTTTTCAGCATTAGAGGAGTCAGACAATTCCGTTTCTGTTGAGCTTTTTCTGCTGTTGGTGGATTTCCATGTAGATGCCAAAGGAAGTTCTTCACAAGTCACAGGTCTTGGTCTCTGGCCAATTCCTGAAGGCTGCTGGAGACCTGCAGACTGTTCTTCAGCACTCAGAACAGCTGTAATTGCTCTTACAGTTGTTTCATCAACCTGAGACCACGGTTTAGAAGGAGCTCGCATACGACGCAGGAACAAACTGTGCCACTTCTGCCTGAGTTGCAACAGCATCCCAGCAGCCTGTAATGGGTTCAAATTCTGTTAAATACTGATGAAAATTAGATTAGACAGGTAAGAGGACCCTATCTTTTTCCTATCAGGCAGCACCTGGCATTCTAATATAAACAGGGCCCAAAATGAAAGGCAGGACTAAGGTCTTGGGGAAGGGGAATAATCCATATTTAAACTAAATGTTAATTTACTTTCTTTTCCTTGGGTGCAAAGTAATTTCTAAAACATTTCATTTAGCTCTGTACTAAACTTAGCTTTGTACTGTAAATCCACAGACTTTTTTTTCTTTTTATCTTTTGAGAAAACCCAATCCTTTCATGCTTTATGCCCTTCCTCTCAAATCAGTCTCCACTCATGCACTCTTTAGTCATACTGGAGGGAAAAGAGCTCTAAGTGATATTTTTCTTACACAGACATCTGCTCAAATGTGATTACTAAATTCAGAAGACTATAGTCTAATTCCCACGTTATCAGAAATGCTTCCATTAAAATAAATTTTAAAAAAATCACTCTTTTGGACATGTCTAGGAAAGACAGTATTATTATTAGAGCTGGTGAAATTGTGTTTCATGACCCATAAACTACTCCTCCCATAGCCACAGCTCCTCAATGACATAAAGACTTCAATTTCAAAGAGGTTTATATTTATCCTTCCAAAATCTGATGGCAACTTTCTTTCAGCAACTCCAGCTTCAAGTGCTCCTTTTTTGATCTGATTTTGGTTACTCTTGCTCAGAAAGAAGGACGCAATATGCCAATGTGACTGTTTTCTCAGCTCCTGCTCAGATTCTGGCGATCCCAGCTCCTGCTATAGCCTGATGGAGCACCATGCAGGCAGGACAGGAGGCCAGAAGCAGCAGAAGGACCCTTATGCAGCCACTGTCACCTGCAGTTTGCTGTCCCTTGCAGCCATTATCTTTTGTCTGGCAGTCTTTTCAGAATCTGCTGACTTGTGGAAAGGGACAAAACTGCCAAGCTCAGACATATAAAACATCATACAGCCCAGAAAGTTTTTGAAGGAGATCCAACATCATCTGCACTGCTGAGGCTTTCCTGCTCCCTCGTGTGATAGACAGGACACCCACACCAAGATGGAGGAAGAACGAGCACTCTGACTGTTGACTTAAATGACTAATTATTTTCTTTCCTTTTGCTCACAGGTAAAATAATTGAAAGGTATGGGTGATAGGTTATGAAACATTGCAACTTGGATGTTGAATACACAAGTTCAAGCGACAGACACCTCTGTGACAAAGGGGATTGAAGCCCTTTAATTCTTGATGAGCTCATGAAGTAAAGGTTAAATCACTGAGCATGTAGTTTGGGACCAAATGGACCATGACATTCTTAGAGAAAATTCTTGGCTACTCAAATGTTACAAAAACCTTTTCATATCTTTTTACAATTCTTCTACATGAAGCAAACCTAGGACTGATTTCTTACTTACCTCAGGGTCCAGTTTGAGATGGAGCCATTCATCCAGCTTCAGTAGTGCCAGATTAGCAGTTGTTTTGTCCTCCATTTCACTGTCACTACTATCATTAGATACCCCTCCTCCTGAATTAAAGATAAAAGTATTATTATTAGTATTAGACAAAAGTATTATTATTAGTATTATTTCTACTTATATACAAAGAAACTAACACTACTGTATTAACAGCAATAATATTTTCCCTTCTAAAATTGACTTTAAAATGTAAACATTTGTAAAACTACCTCTTCTTTTCTGCAAACACACTGAAAAGTCTTTACTCCAGATAGCAGCAATCAAGTAGCCAGACCTGCTGTAGGTCCTACTATGTAAAAACCTGTACTGATATGATCAGACTCAACTCATGTACCCTCACCAGTATTCACAAGCCACTACCCAACTTTCGCCTAAAGCTGTTTGCAAAAGCACACGTGGCTCTATTTCCTAGTAAAACAGCAGATTTAAAGACTTAGTAAGGAAAAAATATACATATAATACATATGGCTATTGATTAGGAATCCTTATTTTTCTGAAGTGCAATTCAATCAGCATGAACACTACTCTAAGGTTAACAGTTTAAAAGCAAGACAGGAAAGCTTCAGAAATAAGCTGGACTTTTAGTTTGATTCCAACTATGAGAACTAGCAGCAGTTATTTTTGCTTCCAATTCAACAGGACTCAAATAAGAAAAAAAAAGAAAATTTCTATATATTCTCTATTACTTACAGTTTATGGTACAGTTAATTGACATAAAAAATTATCAGTGGAACATATCTTGAAAATGCATGTGTCAGCTAGAAGTAACATGACTTGTTTACCACATCGATTATTTCTAAATTATTCAGTTTGAATAATCTGGTTCAATGTATCAAATAAAGTAGTCTGTAGAAAAAGAACATACATACTACACATCTCAGTATCATTATTATCATTAGACATTGTGGCTGCATTCTTTCCTTAGAAACTATACTGTAGTTTCTGAGACTCCCAGAACTGTGTAATTTATGGACCTGAAAATGTAAGGAATCCCAAAACTGAAAGATTTATTACAGAACCTACAAACTATTCCTGAATAGCTACAGGAATTATAACACTGTTGTTTTCAGAATCAGCCATTATGTATTAAATATTACTGAAAAATAAGTTTTCCATGTCACACACTAATGTATACCAGTGGAAACATTCCAAATCCAGACTCCAGTGTACCTCGAAAGGATGAAGATGCCTGCAAGGCATTACTTGGCAGCCTGGCTGGTCCACAGAAGAGGGACACGGTGACAGGTGTCACAACAGAGCAGCACCTGATGTTTGCTGTCTTGTGAGCTCTTGTCATTTCATCATATATAAGCCAGTCTGTAGGGAGGGCCTGGATGGCTGCAGCTTGTCCATTTGCTGGGGCAATCTGTGCAAGAGCAGGTAAGACTAGGCTATTACACTGTTTACTGTAATTAATGTAAATTTTAACATATTTCTCGTTTTATCCAGAGACACTGTGGATGCCTCAACCTGACAGTGTTCAAGGCCAGACTGGGTGAGGCTCTGAGCAACCTGGAAGAGTGAAAGGTGTCCCTGCCTGTGGCAGGGGCTAGAATGAGATAAGCTTTAAGGTCCCTTCCAACCCAAACCATTCCACGATTCTATCTTTTGAGAAATAAATGCACGTATAATTATATACATATAAAAATATACATGCAAAAAAAAGTGTGAGAGAATTCAACCAGATTCACAAATTATCTTACCATGATAAAATATTTTGCTTTAAAAACAAATGTTAAAAAAAAAGTTTCAGAGAAGAACTTCTTGCTTTTAAGAGTAGAGATAATTCTATTTTTAAAACAATCTTATAACTGGGGTGGTTTTTTTGCCATTTTGCCTTGTTCCATCTAGAGAAAGGACTACTTGAAACAATGGAAAAATGAATCAGCTCCAATTCTATCAGCTGGGTAGAACAGTATTTTCTAAAGCTGTAGTGTTAAATGCCCATACTGCTTTTAAAGTACTGACAACTAGAAAAAGACATTTCTAAAACATGTGATAGATTTTAGTGCTCTTTTTCTTGAACTATGAATTTAAAGTGATTTTACCTTTTTATACTGAGACTGACCAAGAACAGAGGTAGGATGAAATCGCACTTTCTTCTCCTTTGGTTCAGTCAACACCAGGCTTTCTCTGTCTACATGCACAAGATTGGGATACATCCCAGCCACTAAGGCAGCTTTAATTACAGCCCAGTTCTCAGAGTTAGTATTAACATCTCTAATATCAGCTCCTCCTCTGGCTCTCACAAAACCTGACAAAAAAACAAGACAAAACAGCGCCATGTTAGCTTGTGTTTGGTTGTCAAAAGGAGTTACAAACTAAAGGTGAAATAAACAATTATTTATTGCATTTTTCAACCTGTTGTACTGCCAACCTTAACATCACCAGGAAGAAACCACTACACTGAAATCCTTCCTGATAAGAGGTTTCATACTAACACAGAATATCACTATTTTCTACAACAGAAAGACACTTCCTATGGGAATAATTTATTAAAACATGAAATGCGGTGACAAGTGGAAATGAGGGTTTTTCAGTTATATCAGCCATACTTCCTCATCTACACCATACCCTGCATGAATGTGTACATAAAGTTGCATTTCAAATTAAGTAAGGAAAATTACACCAGTGAACATGATTTTTGTTACAATTTCTATATGCTTGACTTTAAAACAACATTTAAACATTAAACATTTAATTAAAAATTTTCCAAGTTCTTTACCTGAGGCTCTAAGCTGGCCAAGCAACTGTGTTCTCATTCCTACAATGATTTCCATTGTGGCTTGGGATAGGAAGTTCTTTTCACAGAAGGCTCTCTCCCAGCCATCACTGCGTGCCTTCTGCCATGCCTGAAAATGTTTTTACATTCGCCTATTAACTTGATAGGCTAAAACTAAAAACTGCGTTTTTATAAAAGATTACATTTATGTCAATAAAATGAATGCAAAACCCCCTCTAAAAATAAATGTATCAAACCAGATCCTTTTTTCTGTTCAAGAATTAGGTTCTCCTTACATGTTCATTACAATGATGATTATGTCAAGTTAAAACAATAAATAAAGACCATTACATTAATATCATGATTTGAAGTTCAGTGTAGTAGGATGTAAAGAGGCACATTGTTGCAACATTCAGAATTTTCTAAGGTTTGAAAATATCAACCAAACATACTACAAAAAGTGTTCCCTCACAAATATATGAGTCCAATACACAGCAAAGGCACTAGGCAAAAATAAAGTCTTCTCCAAGGACTTAATCACTGTCCACCACTCTACATCCAAGTAGAGTGCTACATTATTTGCCTTGATTGGGTGATCTACTGTGATTAGCCCTCTCTGAAATGAAGTATTACCTGGAAAGCCCTGAGCAGGGCCATGTGGTCACTGAACGTCCCGGCAGCAAAACGCTTCCTGCACAGCATGGCCGCACGCTTCTGGGAGGCCAGCGTGGGCAGCACAAAAGGGTCTTGGCAGGCAAGAGCACAGGCAATGGTCAGAACAGGATCCAGGCACTTCAGAACTACAGCATACAACACCATTTTACCAAGGTGTGGCTCTACAGGTAATTCAGTGAGGTGATAACCAAGCTCAGTAAGATCTTCCCAAGGGTCCATGGCATCTATGGTCTGTTTATAAACAAACAAACAGAGAGGGGGCGGGGTACAGTGGACAAAATCAATTTACAATGAAAGCAGAGAAGATGTGAATGGACATTAACTAGTCTTGTTTCCAAACACTAATAAAGCAAGTCAAACTATTAACAGAGACGAGACTTTGAAGCATTCTCTTTCCTTGACATGGAAAAACACATCCCCACACACAAAATGAAAACAAACAATCAACAAAAATTCAGAACATCCTTAAGTAATTAAAAACAGCTTCAGTACAAACTGAAGTCAGCAAGATAGACTGCTACACCACAAATTTGGAATCAAACACAATTACCATCTAAATCTATTCCTTTTCTGACCTTAAGCATATGCACAGCATTTCTCACAGTTACAGCAGGCGGAGGATCAGGAGCTTTCATGAGAAAGTCTACAATTGGACAATTAATTGGAGCCAGAAGTTTTGTATACAAACAAATCTCCTGCAAGTTAAAAGGCAGAACAAAAATGATCACCAAGATTTGGAAACAATCCCCAAACACATGATTTGTTGCAATTAATAGTATGGTTTGATGACATTAGATTTTTTAAAGTTATAATTTCTAACTGAACATGCACCTGAAGCGGCATTCTGAGAAGTTCTGGAGACTGAAATTCCAACATATTCTGAAATCGCAGCCTGCTGAAGAGACGAAAACAGACTCCAGGCTGACAGCGCCCAGCCCTTGAAAATAAAATATGGGAAATTGTGAAAATTAGGTTTCTTTCTAAAAATAAAACCAAAAGCCAACAAACAGACACAGAAACTCAGAATGGAAAAGCAGAAGCACTTCTATGAAGAAAGTGTTATAAGTCACATGCAAAGTGAGAGTCTTCCAATCATGGATTATTTTTGAGAGTGTGGCAATTTTTTACTGAAATTTTTACCCAACACTGAGAAATCTGGAGGAAGAAAAACAAGATTTATCTAATGTAAAGTGCTGTGGGTTTTTTGCTAATGTAAAACCAGTCCAAATCTCAATCATGCTTTGTTGTAAGGAAATCAGTTGCAAACTTCATTTCCTCTCCTCACATCCCCTAAACAGAGATGACCTTTGAAGTAAAAGGTAGAAAAAAGGTTAAATAACTTGCGAGTGAATGAGAGACAGCAAATTCTCTCATTCATATACATGCATGTGTATACGTGCAGCTTAATGCCAATGTGATTGATAAAACAGGCACTTGCTGCTACATAAGCTTCTGAGCCCTCACCCACAGTGTTGGGAAGAATATAATCATGGCCTAGATATGTCATAGATAGCGTGGAGAAAGTGATATAGGCAGTCAGTCCTCTGTCCACAGACAAGATGTGAAAACACCCTAATGGACACTGTGACTGGTGGTGCTACATGGGAGAAAGAGGAAGGAGAACAACATAATAAGGGAAAACAACCTACACCTTCAGGAAATGCCTGAACATCAATTTCCTACAACTTGGGAAATTATTCCAAGGAAATACATACTGACCAGTACTCACCTGCAGAGAACAAGTGTTGGCCATTATCCAACACAACACTGGACTAGGCTAGAAACAGTTACTATGTTGTATGCTATATTCTAAACATAAAGGACTGTGGATATCTGCAAAATGGAAACCAGAATGAGGCATTTATTACCTGCCCTTTCTCTGGATAGCACTGGCTTTTGAAATCCACCCCATTTTTAGCATTGTAACACGGCTCAATGCATCAAAAGACTTCTAGAAAAACAAAGAAAGGAATATAAACTGAAAACTCAACGGGGTACATGAAATAAAAGTTACTAGTTATTTAGATTACCAACAGAAGTTTTCTAAAAAGTATGAAACAGTAATATATACACAGCAACTTCTGGCACAAAGGCATCTTCTCAGTTTCAAGTGAATTTATGATGGTATCTCCCTTGCAGTACCTTAGTGCTACACAGTTTTTGAAATACACATTTTCTAGTCAACAGGTAACTGCAAGTCAGTAAAAAGTATGTCAGATCTGTGTTCTGAGATACAATAAAGCAAGTAAAAATACATTATTATACCGAATAAAGTTTTCCTTTTTATCTCACTTGAAAATTACCTGCTTATTTTCTTAGACTGATGTAAAATTACAAAAGTAAGTTTGTTTTATAAGAACTTCAAAAATTTGGAATGTATGTCGCCTATGAAATCCAATTTCATTTTCAAAGCCATACACTAGGTCTTAAATTGCCTCATTATGTGATCTCACTTTTCTTGAAAAAGTAATTAGGAATGGGCACTGAACACACCAAAAACCTGCTTAAAAACTTAATGGATTATTTTTGGACTTGATACAATAGCAGGACAAAAAGAACTCTCAGCGGTCTCTCAGTCTCAGGAAGGTGGTGGTCTAAACTGAGGACTTGTTTTAAAAATCCAGCAGAAATACTAAATTGCAAAAGAGAAAGATACATTAATACATCAACCTATATCAGTTTTTACAAGGTTTTTAGACAGCTAGCTATTTACAGGATTTGTCTTAAAACAAATGGATGTCAAAACTTTTCAGTGAGGACTGTTGCCTGACAGGCATTAGCTCTTACCTAGTAAAAGCTTTTTTTCACTTTACTGTAAAGTAAAAAAAAAGTTCTCCAAAATTTATGCACTGTGTGTTTTAGAATCTCACTCTGAAAATTTAAGGCTCATACCTCTTTCACCTTGCCTGAGTCAATGACAAACACAACATCATTGACTGTTATGCTGGTTTCTGCAATATTAGTAGAAAGAATCTGCAAAGAAAAAAAACCAAAACCACCAAAACTATAATAAGTGTAAAAGCAACAGCAAAATAGATCATTGTAGCATCTGACAAAGTCCTGTAATACTTGCAATTTTGCGGATGCCAGAAGGTGGAGCTTCAAGCACTTTCTTCTGATCCAAAGTCTGCACACTTGAATGAAGCATGAAAACTTGGTATCTAATGCAACACAAAAGAACATTGTAAGGATCCTTAACAAAAGCAATGAAAAGCCACAGTGACTAAAGGTTTTACCTGTGAGCATTATCAGCAAATCTCTTGTCATCAAAAAGAATGCGGTCCCTCAGGCTCACTATCTCATCATACCCAGGAAGAAATATTAAAATTGCTCCTAAAAAAGGAAGTGGGTTTGCACAGTTAAATAGAAAATTCAAATAGATGTTGATGGCATGTAGACTAGCACTCAGAAGGTTTTAATTTTTGGGGATTGCTGATAAAAGAACAAGATTAATCAGAAGCTGAATCCACAACTAGTTAGGTATTTACCTACCCGCATCACAACTATGACAGATGCTGTGAAGTAAGTGCATTATCAGATCCAGATCCACTTTTTCATCATCAAAACTGTGATGATAAGCTGTCAGTAATTCTCTGTCCTCTGCACTAAGGTCACTACCACTTTTTTGGACCAGGGAACTTTCATCAAGATTTCCAAATCCAAATGAAGCACTGTAATAGAAAAATACACCAGAGTCAAGGCTGTCCCTTCGGGTTTGAATTCAGCAATCAACTCAAACTTAGATCAAGACCAACATGACTACTGGTTTTGAATTCTAATTTTTAAGTGTAGCAGAAGAGAATCACCATAGTATTACTGCCCACAGATTTAAATGTCAACCCAAGAAAGGATGCCACTTCATTTATTTGTGTTAACTTTCCTTTTCTTAAACTTCATTGAAACACAACCATAAGCTAATGGAAGTATAAAGATACTTCTCGTTTACCTGTTCAAGGAAAAATATTTAAGAGATATGTATTCTCCCAAAATTTCCCACTAGCAGAAACTACACTAAGAGAAATTATAATAAATATAATCTTTACAAAACACTACCTCAACTATGATAACTGTAAGTTAATGAAAAAAATCATTCTTGAACGGCCTGGTGTACACATTACTTCTGTAAAGTTTCTTTAATGTCTATTGTGTACAAAAATACACAGATAAAAACACATGACAGATTTCTTTCCAAAGTAAGCACGTGAAAATAAAATGGTACATAGTACAGAATTAGCAAGTTGTGCAAATATAAACAATATGATACTGAGTACAAACTTTTTTGTTGCTTCTGAAATATTCCTATTCTTAAAAAACAATGGTATTCCTATTCAGTCCAGATTTTACAGCATGAAAAGCTAAAACCTGTTCTGATTAAAAGAACACAAGCCTCAAATTTCCCTTCACTATGCGATGCAACTCCACCCGCAAAACAGTTACAGCTTACCTGTAGGATTCCAACAGATCCACAACCTCTGTCTGTCCAAAGCGCCTAGCCCAGTCCACAGCCATCCTGAAAGAGTTGCACAAGTATTTTTATTCGATTTTTCACTTCAAAAGATGAATATGAGTAGTACATCAGACGAGGCAATTGATACCAGACTTTTGTACTCATTTCCCTATTGTTATCAGTACTGCTATTGCTGGATCTGCAGCTTTCCACTTGAAAGTGCTTGAATAGGTGTTAACAGCTACCTGACTTGTAGGTAACTACGGTTCTTTACCGCAAAAGAACGTCAGTTTTACACAGGAGTACCTGCAAACATGCACAAGGAAAGGAGGAGGAAGAATATGCCATTCCCTTAAAAAGCCCATAAAAACGTGCAGAGATCAGGCCTGCCTGTTTGCAGTAGCCTTTAAGTCATCTCAAAAAGTCACACCCCGGTGTTTTGCATTAAAACGCGGGAAAACATCTGGCTATTTCATGTCTTTCAGAAGCTGTCCTTCTCACAATGCAGTTCACCGTTTTACCTTTAAACTGCATTCCTTCCCAACTTTTTCAAATGTTAGCACCAAATATCAGACCCCTGGAATTCTAATTCTTATCATGCCATACTACAATTATTTACTGTACTTCCCTATTTAAATGAAGACATACTTCATGACCACAAAACTTGAGTTTTACAGATTCACAAATACTTTTATATGCTACAACAGACTTAGAAACATCACAGAAAGATCTTCTGATATAGGTAACTCCATGAAAATAAGAATTGCCAAACATTTTGGTCCAATTCAGTAGATTACAGTTGTTCTGCTAACCAGTGTCTTCAATACACCTACTGAAACAAAGTTTATAGCCCATAATCAAGATCGTGTAATTAAGAATACAATTTAGAATTTACAGAAAACAATGTCATTAACAGGAGTTAGAAAATTCTTTAACATCTAAATTAATTTGTTAACTTATCACTCTGCCCTAGGAACTATAGCTTTTACAGCCTAAACAGTTTCTTTCTCTCTCCTATATTGACAAATAATTCTATCTTTTGGTTTCTCTGTTTGTTTTTACCAGCCATTAGATGATTTGCAGTGGATACTTGCTCCCATACTGATCAACTGTTCTACTTGACTCAAAAAGCCTCTCCCTGAAGAAATCATCAGAGCAGTCGCACCAGTTTCACTGTGCCTATAATCAACTGAGAAGTAAAAAAATAAAAATCAGCAAACCCAACAGAAATGTTATTTCTTCATCTAAATATAGTACAAATATTGCGTTCAAATTCCAGCCCAAAGAGAATTTGTTTCCTCACTTTATCTCTGCAGTCAGTTCATATGAATTCCACACTGTCTTAGAAACACACTTCTGCCAATACTTCAAAACAACAACTAACTAAACAATTCATTAATTCTGCAAGCCCTAACCATTTTTTCAGGAGGTATCAGAATGCAAAGGTAACAATATTTGAAACTGGAGATAAAAGTAGCCATAAAAATCTAAGTAAATTTGAGGTTACTTTTTTTCTTATGTAATAACACAATAAACTTACCACTGACATTTTCAGTTAAAATAAGATTTAACACCTGAGCAAATGAATCAATATCTTTATGCAACCAGATGTCAGAAAGACAGGAATCCATTTCTTTTACTATCCACGGTTCAAGGCAATTCACATCTTTTTCAGTCTGAAGATAAAAACAATATTGAATGATTAATGTCTTCCAAGAGTCGTCTTTATTCTCACACATTACTCACAAAGAATTTGAATGGTTCTTTTTCCCAGCAGCAACCAGAAATCCAACACTCAGGTATCAGTTAATGCACTGATTTTGCCATATGCAAGTACTAACACAACGGCAGTCAAGCCATTTGACTGAGGAAAAGCTGCGTACAAGCACCGTAACTAGAGCAGTTAATTGTAATAAAGTAATCTGTAAAATACAGTAATATCCTGAAAGATGTCGCAGACATTTTTTCACAGAAATCCTTTCTTTGGGGTTGTGTATCTTCTGAGAAGCAAAGCGCCCCAGAAGAAGAATGTAAACAATTGTTATCAGCTGCTGTGAATTGCAATAGGATGCACCTGTGATTGGTTCATGTTCCCATGTTTATAATTAAGGGCCAATCACAGGAGCAAGCTGGGGACAGAGACCCTGGACACAACTTTGTTAGAGATTCTTTCCTTTCTATTCTTAGCTTAGCAGCTCTGCAACTTCTCTTCTTATTCTATTTGGTATAGTTATAATGTATTATATATCATATATCAATAAATCCAGCCTTCTGATCAAGAAACAAGATTCTCGTCCTTCTCTCACCACCCTCAGCGACCCACTCAGGTCGCTGTAATAGAAAGACTCTACAGAACTATCTTTAGAAAACAGATTTTAAATGGCTAGTAATACAACACAAATATAAACATCTCTTCCAACAAAAGAAAAAACTTACCAGTTGATTGAAGACAGTGTCACCACCCTCATCCAACCATTTGTACTCCTCATTTGCCCTTGGAACTGATTTTTGTCTCCGAGATGTCAGTTTGTTCGTGCTTTCTTGAGCTGAACACCACTCAGCAAGAGTGCTCTTCTGTTTCTCTTCTAGAATGCAAAGTATTCACCAAGAAAATTTTAGAGTCATCTTTATTATCCATTGTTTTCTACTAAAAAAGATAGTTACAGGAGGTCAAAGTTTTACCTATTCAACCTCTTTTATTTAATCTAGAATGCTACTAATAGTCCAAGATAAATGACATGTTTAAGGGTATCTAAAGTGCACCACTGAAAACAAGGGCTATAAGAACAAGGCAAAACCTACCATTTTGGGATTTAACTTCCCAAGCCTGTATTAGTCCAAACTACTGCATTCAACAATCTTCCTTAAGTAATCACCTTTCACACAAACTCAGCCCAGATCTTTTTCCAGAAATGGAATGCTGAAGAAAAGTGATACAGTCCCTGCATGTAACAACTTATTTTTGCACGCAAGAAACAGTAGAAAACACCAGTGTCTTAATCAAACTTTTCTGTTCCCAGTGATCAGAGCTGAGCATTGTAATAAATATCCAGTTAGGATTGTATGTTATATATATAGCTTTGAGGTTTGCGTTTTTTAAAAACTTTTTTTTAAATAATCACTGGGATCATTACTTTCAGTTGCCAGGAAAACTTCTGAAGCAGTATCTACTTAATCAACTGAAAACCAATTATGTTCAGCTCAAGAGTGTTAACACTTAAAAAATATATCCATGCCAGAAGAAAGCAGTGAAAAATGTTACTAAAATGAATGACTTGTACATTTCGTGCAAATGTACAAAATCCTGCTTGCTTTAATAGATGCACTTTAATTTACACCCAAAGGTACAGGGCATCCCATGCTTCTTTAGTATTCATGTGGGCAAAGCCCCCAGTTACATTAACTCTACGCCATTTTTTTCTTTAATTGCATAAACTATTTCAACAATGTAAATACTGAGAGCTTAAAGATACTTGCTGCCATCTTATCACACCTCATTTAATCTCCTGACTTTGGAATTTTAACAGAAAATAATCCTGTCAATTGTTTGTTCAATCAATCAATGATTCTCATTGCTAACCCTTGCAATTAAGCAGTCCACCAACCTTGCTGCTTCTCTTTTTTGTACTTCACCATCTCTTTGTTTGTATACCCAGTGCTTCGTAAAATGTCCTCCAGAAACATCTCTTTAACTTCAAAAGGTCTCCCTTGGACTAAAAGTATAAAAAATCCATTAAAGATTATATATTCACTAGCTTCACTTACAGCATATATTTATTTTTAAATTATCTTCATTGCAGTTTTTTTTCCTCAAAATTATACAAAACAAAACATTTCCAATGTAAAATGCCATCTTGTTTCTCATCAAGCTCTTCAATTTTATCAAGTGTTATAGCAAGAGATGTTGATAAGATGATTATAACATTGACAGTTATTACCCATAAATTTTTTTTTAAATGAGAAAAAGAAAACAGCCATTTTTGTTTAGGGTTACAAACAAGAACTTGCCATGTAAGCCTGCCACCTGGATTAAAAATGTAATTAATTAATAAGCAATTAATACAGTTTTTGCAAGGTTCCACGTGGAGATAGTACATCTTTGTATTGAACTACTTTCTTTTCATGAGAAGTACGTGAGAAGATAGACTTATCTCCACGTCCTCAACTAATTCAGCAAAGCTGAGCTTTGTTTACGGAGTACTTCTTGACAGATGAGACATCCCAGTGGCCTTTACCTTCTAATAATTTATCCTGATTTCTTTTTCAACATGACTATTTTCTAGACCTTATCTGTTGACATTAAAGGATGCTTTTTGCCTGAAGAATTAAAATCTCTACATTTTGATTTCTTGTCCCTTAAACTGACTTTAGGTCACTTAGGATTTTCCTTCAGAAAGAACAATCCACAATTCACATACTTTTCGAAGTTGTCACAGAGGAAGTATTCCAACAATGATAACAAACTCTGTGTACTACAGCAATCCACGACTACAAAATGTTGGTTTCTGTGGTCAGAATTTTGTCATCCATATTGCTGAAGAAGAATCAAACCTTTTTCACTATATTAACAGAAACAGCCGCTTCTTTTAATTCTCAAATTCTCAAAAAAAAAAAAAAACCCCAAAAAAAACCCCAAAAAAACCCCCAAAACCAAACCAAAACAAAACAAAAAAAATCCCTATTTTCAATTGCTCTTGATAAGCACTGTGATAAACTGGAGAGATTGTCATCAGAATTTCCAACACAAATATACCAATCTGAAAGAACAGGAAGCTGCAAAAAGAGTAAACTGGAAAGCCACACAACAATCGCAACTGAGGCAAAAATATTCAGAGAACATGAAATCACATGTCATTTCCAGATTCCCGTCTCCAATAAGGTCCAAGACTTATTTTACTAGGCAGAAATTCAAAATTTGGAACTAGAAATAAACACTTCTACCTGCAAAAAAAGGGGAAAAGAGATTTCCTTCTCACAAGCATTTGCTAAAATAAACCAGTAAGCAATCCCACCTGTTTCCTAAAACTGCTGAGATTTTTTTAAAAAAAGGCTGACATGCAGAGTCTACCTGACTGTCAAATAAAGCATTTATCTTAAAAACTACTTTTCAAAACACATTAAACTTGGACATTATTATTGAAAAATTAAGAGGACTGTAAGGTGCCAGATGAGGTCGTCCATGCAGAAAACCTGCAAGCAAGGAGGGTGGTGAAAAAACCCCCAAATCCACAAAAATCCCCCATCTCCCATGCATTTGTATTTTGCCTCTACTAAAGATCTGTCAAATGAAATTAAAACAGCAATAATGGTAACTTTTCTTTGCATTTGAATGTAATCTAACTGCAGGTAACTGAGTCAACACAAACTAAGAGAAACTAGATGCCTTTTCCGAATATTTACCTAGATGAATGGCTACTAATTTGCTTAAAATCAAAGAATCACGTGATTCTAACATGAAACCCAAGCTGCTTATGCCTGTATTTTTAAAATGAACAGGTACAGTTACCTGTGTTTTATCCAGTAACCAATAACAACTCTCATGAAGAATAAGAATCTACTGGAGTGTATTAATATACGTCACACTCATGTAGCTCCTAAGTCCTGTATCAGCATGAAGACAACACTTCAATAACCTTTTCCTACTTCTTTATTAACAGTGGAAGGGGGCAGGACACACCTGCATTTACAGAACTCCCAGTGACTAAAACACTTCATTCTGAATTAGGAAAATAGTTAAGAAACAAGAAACCTGACTACACAAAGAACAAGGATTCCTGTAACTCTCAATGTATTCATCATGCGCCTTTACTCAAAATAGTTTGCTACAGTTTAGTAAGATCTGTGAGTCTCAGGGCACGTATAGTCAGATTTAAGAGTCAAGATAAATACTCACTATGTATTACTGGGCAGCTTCCAAAATACCTAATAAAGAGATTTGCATCTAAAGCAGCACTAGAAATAATTAGTTTTAAATTATTCTGGTTTTGCAGCACGTCTCTCAGTTTTATTAGCAGGAAGTCACTAAACCTATCCCTCTCATGTACTTCATCCTGTAACAAAAGAAAAAAGGAGAGATAAAAAAACCTCACAGATTCAAGATCACGACTTCTGACAAAAACGAACTTTAAAAAAAAAAATTGATTGCACATTACAAAGGCTTCAAATGTGTACTTCTAGTTTAAGTAATAGGGTTTTTTAAAAAAGGGGGGTTTTTTATGCTTTCCATCAGCAAAAAAAAAAAACTTCAAACAGTTTTTATCAGAGCTGAGTGCACTGTAATGCTGAAGCTCTATACACCTTAATTTCAGAGGCCAAAGTGAATATCTGAAACACCTCTAATTTTGTATTTGAAGCCAAATTTCAAGAAAATGCCACAAACCACAAATCCTACAAATCTTACTTTAATAAATTCTCACTTCACCACTGACGAGCATTTAAAGAAATGTGACACCACATAATCAGAAAAACACAGAGATTGCTTAGACAAGTCATACACAAAGCCTATAAATTAAGGCATATAACTGAATAACCACCTCTGTCATTCCTCTGTTTTGTTTTGTATTATGAAGGAATGAAACAATGGCTCAAATACAAGGTTTATAGGCTGACATCAAGAATGTACAGATCATTCTCATGCTTTTTTTATGCTTTGATAAACAGGTAGGCACCTAAACTTACCATGTTTTCTTTTAATCTTCGGTACTTAAGTCTTGCCATAAGCATTCTAGTTCCTCTTACTTATTAAATTCCACAATAGGAATACTAACATAATCATAAATGAACACACCTGAGTAATTTGCTAGCAACTGGCCTCCACACTGTATTATTATATATGGGCAAACAAACGGACTGAAAACCTGGTATTGCTAAAACAAATACATGACAACAGAAATTCTGACATGATCATATTGAGCCACATCAATCTAAACCTCCCTAAAGATTTTCTGAGGAACAGGGGAAGTTCAGAAAAATTTACACTTCTGTCCTCCTCAACTCCTCCCAGTTCCACAACTAATCATTGGCATGAAAATAAAATATTTTTACAGGAAAAAACAAAAATGCACAGAAAAACACCAAAATCCACAAAATATGCATACTACTCTAAGGACTCAGGAAGTCTTTAAAGTTGATTCAGATTCTACCAGACAAAAAGACCTAAAGCCCTCCGTAAATTTAAATTTAAAAAAATGAGGACTTCATTTTCTAAAGCAATACATATTGCTCCACCCCACGTGAAAGACCACAGGATGCTCACCACAATAACATGGGTCACGGTGGAGAGGGTGCTGTCTCCTGCCATCAGTGTGCGAAGGAGCATGTCATTAGTGCAGAATGTTACCAGTGTCTTTGGAGAAACCCTATGGAACACATCACAGAGACAACTCAGGGGATTTGCACCATTTAAAGGTAGTTAGCTTTCCATAGATCAAAAACTAAAGCAGCTGCTGACAGGAAGAGGAATTACAGTTCTCTCCCCAAAAGACTCACGCACACCATTTGTTTTGAAACTATGCCTTTTCCCAGACATTTCCTAACAATTTGTAGTGCTTGTGCCCCAAAACTATGGACAACAGATTAATTGAAAAAATAAGATTCAAATTTTAATAAATAAGGAAGTAAAAGAGAACTATGAAGAAACTCTGCATGTCATTCAATTTACTAGAAAATTCCATGTGGAAAACCAAGCTGCAATTCCTCAGCATATGCCTGGATACAGCCTTTGCATTTGACTACACGTGGTGGGATGAGCCTAGCTGGATGCCAATTGCCTCCCCAGCTACTCTACCTGTCCTCTTCATGGGTAGGGGAGAGGAAACACAACAAGACTCACAGGGTCAAGAAGGAAAATGTGGGTCTCTCTCATGGACGGTCCTCCATGAGTTTCTCCAATAGAAGTCCTTCCCATGGGTTGCAGTTCTCCATGAACTGCTGCAGTAGAGGTCCCTTTCCACAGAGGGCAGTGCTTCAGGAACAGCTTGCTCCATTGTGGGACCCCCACAGGGTTACAATCCTGACAGCAAACCTGCTTCTGTGTGGGCTCACTCCCCGGGGCCACAGGTTCTGCCAGGAGCCAGTTTCAGCACAGACCTCCCAGAGGATCACAGCCTCCTTCAAGCATGCACCTGCCCGAACACAGAGTCCTGCACAGGGGGATCCCTGCTGCACCATGGACCTCCATGGGCTGCAGGGACACAGCTGCCTCACCATGGGCTGCACCTGGCACCTGGAGAACCTCCTCCCCTCCTGCACTGATCTTCCTGTCTGCAGAGCGGCTTCTCTCACATTCTCTCACTGCTCTTCTTCAGCTGCTGCCTCTGTTGTGCAGGTTTTCCTCCCCCATTCCCCACTGTCCAGAGACACTACCACCATCACAGAGGGGCTCAGCCTCAGCCAGAGGCAGGTCTGTCTTGGCTGGCACTGGCTCTCTCTCTCAGACACAGGAGAGGCTTCTGGCATCTTCTCACAGACGCCACCCCACAGCTCCCAAAGCCTTGCCTTGAAGACACAATACATTACAGCTGACTAAATCACAAAGTAATCTGCTGATACTCTGGTTTTTCAGGAGGTCAAAATACTGAAATGTTACAATTCTATATCTGGGGCAGAGTTAGCTGCCCCAATAAAAACTGCAATTGTCACTACTTCCTCTGGCCACCCAAAAGGAGCTGAAAAGTTCCTTTGTACTGTACTCTACAGCTCTCCTCTGGAAGGCAGTTAAGAAAACTTTAAAAATTGTACTTCTGTGCTGTGCTCTAAACATCTCCACTCCAGATTTTTGTCCACGACTCAAAATATTGTTATCTCCACCTTTTAGTTTTCTCTGGATTAAATGTATTGATTCCTTTCTAGGTGGATTTTCTGCACTGTTTCCAGTAATTCTTCCATTTTGATCTGACTTTGCTCTTCCTCTGCCAGCATAGTACTTCCATATATTAATCATCCAGCTTATTTGTGATACATCTTCAGCAGCTCCTCTAATCTCTTAATAGCCTTCTGAGCTTTCACACACACATTTGAATTCTTACTGTGGCTTTGTTGTTCAAGTACGTTAATTTTCACAGCTATGTGTTATCTTTGTTCACTCGAGCAACACAACCTTTTGCCATCTTCTGGTCACTCATGTCCCAACTGCTGGCCCTTCCTTGAAATGACAGTGCCTATGCAGCACAAAGATGTAAAGACCCCACCCCATTCATGGTCTGCTTTACAGACTAATTCATCAAGTGATATTGAAATCTCCATTTTTACATCACTTCATGTTTTAAACACAAAAGCTGAAGCAGAGTAAATTTAGTCCAAACTAGACAGATAAATAATGCTCAGCTTCATCAGTCCCTTTCCAAATTTGTTGTCTTCCCTTTTATGACTCCTATCAACTCAGACTACATAAACATTTGTTACAGCATGCTGGTCTTCACACCTACCTTCAAAGCTTGCAGAACTTTTGGATCCACACACATGTTAAAAGCAGAGAGGGGAAAAAAAAATATAAAGTGTGGACTTGATCTGAAAATCAGACAAGGATTTTACATGCATACACTCTGCAGAAGAAATCAATAGAAAGCACTTGAAACTCAGTTCTATAAGACAACCTACTACATGAAACTGCAAAACACAGGAAGAAAGCCATCATTTTCACTCTTAAGAGTGTAATTATTTACTCTTAGTACTCTCAAGAGTATCCCTTACCTGCAATAACATATCCCACCTATAATTTGTGGGGCTGCATCCCAAACATACTGCAGTTTAAATGTACACAAGATTCACAATACCAACACAAGATCAACTGACACTTAGAAATAGCATTAGTACCTGCTTTCTAACCGGATCTGGTAACCAATTGTCTGGCCAATCTTCTCTCTTCTTTCTGCTGCCACTCGTTCAGCCACAGCAACAGCTGCTAAACGTCTTGGCTGAGTACAAAACACACGACAGGGAGTTCCATTCTTGTAGCAGTCATCAAGGATAAACTGAGGGATCTGTAGAGAAGTGGTTCAAATTTACTCTTTGAGAAAGCCACAGCTTTGTCAGTACAGGGAAACAATTTAACTGCATCTCAGTATAACACATAGCAAAAGACTTTTCATTAGAATTATCACTGCAAGCATACCTGAATCAGTGGAAAATAAATTTCTAAGTATAACTTATTTAGGGTTTTTTTTAAAGAAAAAACTTGCAGCGTCTCTCTCCTGCTTCAGAGAAATCTAAAAAAAAAGCCCCCTACGGATAATCTCTCATTTTAACACAAAAAATATATTACTGTCGGTACTAAGAACATGAAGAGCCTTAGAAGAAAAAGGGGTATACAAACATCACAGTTACTTTCCCTTCAATATTTTGCATTATTTTAATGAAAAAATTGTATCTACAAGAAAATTGTGAGGAAAAATTTACGCTTTTAGTATCTGTCTACTGGCTTAGTGTTTCAAAAGCAAGAAAATTAATTGGAACACAAGATTTTCAATCATACAGGAAAAGAAAAGCCTTAAAATAGCATAAAAATATCCCATATCACAAATGTTACACAACTGGCATTAGTTTAGTATAAACACTGTTATGTTTTTTATTTCATTGAAGAAACATACTTGCGTAGTTTTTCCTGACCCAGTCTCTCCTATAATCAAAACAATTTTATTGTCCTTTATTATTTGGACAATTTCTTCCTGTTTTTCAAGAACTGGTAATGACTGCCTGAAGGAATCAAACTCTGATTCCCCTCTTTTCACTGGGACCTGGGGGATACCATCATTAAGTCGACCACTTGTCTTGTTTACTTCTTTGTTTTCTGTAAAGAGAAGTTAAAAGTTTATTTATACAGATCCAGAGGAAGGTCACTAAAACACAGCTCGTAAAAATTGCACGTAAAAATTAATGTTGCTGACTTTTTATGTATCCCTGTGGGTAAAGTGACAAACCCATCACAATTTAGAAGTCATATTTATAACAACATGTCCTCCTGAGGTGCTTGAAATAGATATTTTTCAAAACAGTTATTACTTTCACAGGTATTTTGAACAAAACCAGACTCTTCCAGAGCATTGCTCCAAGTCAAAAAATCCTACAAAGAGCAAAAGGAGAAAGAGAAACTAAACCAGAGAAAAGCGGCCAGGTGTATTTTGGTGGCCTTTGTAACTGCGCCCACATTTCACACCTGCAGTTCTCCCTAGAAATACACACTTACAGAGTTAAACCTTTAAGCTATTGCACGAATTTGCCTGAAATCATACTAATGCAAGCATGCTGCATCAAGAGTCCTGGACCCCACACAGCAGTGTGATGTGCTAGAAAGCAGTGCGTAAGTAGCCCAAAAACGTGCTTCTGAGGGAGATACTTCAAATCCATCATTGCAAGTGCTACTCTGTAGTTCCTTGATAATTATTTTCCAGAAGAATGAAAAGCTTTCTGTAGACTAATTATACACATGATAACTGTGATTAATACATTCATATACTAAATTTCAAGCTCTGCTGTACCAAGACAAACACAGACTTAGAGATCACGAGAACTAAAAATAAATTCTTGAGAAGCAGAAAATACAATTATTAGACTGTTCATTAACTTATTCTTACATTGCTAAGACATTGCATTTCAATACTTCTATTATAGCTTCTTTCTGTTCATTGAACAATCCTATTAACCAACTGAAAAAATTGAAAAAAAACAGCAAAGGAAGCACTAAAAGACACCATGTATCAGGAACACGCAATTAAACAAGGCATATTGGTACAAGTATTTTCAGTTCACTACAACCATCTATGCACACAGAAACACAGTGTAACTCTAAAGCAAGAATCTAGATGAAAGCCTTGCTTTAAAAAAAAAGGTACTCTTTTTTTTAAAAAGGGAATACTCCTTTTTTTAATTAAAAAAACAAACCAATTTTATCAGAAGTTTGTCTTTCAGCAAACCCTTCTGTATTCAAGAAATCAAGAAGTCTAGAAAATAGTCTCTAAAGGACCAAATCGATTTTGTGGAGATGAAAAAATAAAAACTAAACTTCTTGATTTATCAAGGACATTCATTTCTATAACCAGAAAAGACAATGTAATTTTCTCATAAGGGTGTTCTTATGGCATTGTCGTAACACTGACTCTTCAATCCCACCTCAGAGTACTTCTATGAAACCACATTTCACAAATGTACTTCCAAAAAGATTTGGCTGGAACTGGCTCAAAGTTTCTAAATTAACACAGCACAAGGTAGACATCACAATGTGCATGATATGACTTCCCAAGTTCCTCACAATACCAGTTATAAAAGACCTTAAAAGGAAACAAACATGTGCTTGTTTAATGGTGTCTGAGAGGACACGAGAGGGAACAGAACAGAAAGGTTTGTTTTGTCACTGGGTTGCAGGTGGTTTTTTCAAGTGGCATTGATGGGCAAGTCCAAATCAGAAGACACACAGAACATACCAGATTCAACAGCACAGGCATGTCCTCTCTCTGTCCTTGGCAGGAGTTCTGTGCGCTCCTTGTTTGTGACAGGAAAGCTCTGAATGAGACTCCGAACGGTGTGCTTCGTACGGAGAGCCAAGTCACAAGTCATGACTGCATGTGCATCTGATACATCCTTCTTCCTCACAGTCAGGTATCGATTGGCTCCTTTTCTGTGGGGGGGGGGGAAGAAAATCTATCTTAGGGATAAGGAACCTACTCTGGGTTAACTTTTATCTGTCAAGGTATGAGAATCTATGCAAAATCTTTGAAAAAAACCAGACTTCACAGTGAAACTTTTTTAATGGACTCATTAAATCCACTAAATGGATTAAGTGGAAGTGGAAAAGCAAGCTGTACCAAAATGCATGTCACAAGTTTTTCCAAGCACGCATACGGCAATGAACAAAGATACTTATTTCTGTGTCTACTTTTACACTTTTTTCTCTAATACTATTCCTTGCAACACTGTAGGGTACATTGAAAACATCAATCAGGTTATCATTAGTCATGAAATTCCATTGGTCTGCAGCTAAAAACCAAAAACTGTACCCCAACTCACCCTTTGCTTTTAGATACCAGTCCAAGAGACTGACAGAGCTGATGAACAAACGCTCTTTCACTACTAGTGAAACTAGAAGGAAATTCCATCTCTAGAATGATAAATAATAATGAAAAAAACAGTAATAATGCAATAGACAGTAATCTTGATGTATTATCTCCATGTTACAGACCCACAGAATTGTTAGGATTGGAAGGGAGACCACGCAGTGCAACCCCCCTGCCAAGGCAGAGTCACCTGGAGCAGATGACAGAGGAACACATCCGGGGTTTGGGATGTCTCCAGAGGGGGAAACTCAACACTTTCCCCAGGCAGCATTCCCAGTGCTCTGTCACCCTCAATGGAAAGAAGTGCTCCCTCATGTTGAGGGGGAACTTCTTGTTTTACGGCCCTTGCTCCTTGTCAAAAATCTGCACCGCCTTCCTGGGACTCATCTTGAAGACATTTATATGCATTAATGAAATACCCTCTCAGTCTCCTCGAGGCTAAACAGGACCATCTCCCACACCTCTCCTGATAACAGATGATCCAGCCCCCTCATCTCATCTCAGTGGTCTCTGCTGGACCCCCTCCAGTAGCTCCCTGTCTCTGTGCTGAGACGCTTAGAGCTGGACACAGCAGCCCAGCTGCGCCTCACTAGGGCCGGGCAGAGGGGCAGCATCCCCGCCCTCACTACACCCGCAGGCTGCCCCCGGGCCCGGCTGTGCCGCGCACCCGCTTCGTCCCCGCTCCGGAACCGCTCCAGGGCGAGCTGCACCGCCATTTCCACCTCCTCGTCAACGCCGACCTCCCTGAGGGCCTCGGCCCGTGCGCGCACCGCGGCGGCGGCAACCGAGCCCCCCGTGGCCCCGCCGGGCTGCCGCCGCGGGACCCGCCTGTGTCGCGACATGGCCCCGTGTCACGGCCCCACACGACCCCGACACCGACACAGATCAGGGGCCGCAGCTCCTCGGCCCGGGGGGCGACGCTGGCGGTGGGGCGTGGCTCCCGCGGCCGGAATCGGCCCGAACGGAAGGAGTTTGGTTCTTTTCCCGCCGTTTGGGGGGAAGCGTGCCTAAGCACCGAGGTACGTGTACGGCTGTGACCAAAAAGGGGCACTGGTACCCTGTCTAGTCATAAAATACGTGCTTTAATTGCATGGTATTAAACGTAGGCGTGGCGAGGGTCATCTCGGCCCTCAGCCTCCTCACTCTGTAAAGTGTTACTTGCCCTTGATTTTGGATCACCTTTTCCTGCTGTCCTTTGACTGCACGCTATGGACACGAGGTAGAAACTAAACCCAAACCTCTTGGGCATGACACAGGACTCGGTGTTGAAAGCTGCTGCTTTGGAAATATCATTAGGTCAGAAGGAGAGTACTTAGAAGAAGAACAAACTACTCCTCAGTTGTGAACTGAAGTGGGGAATTAAATAAATGGAAAATAAGCACTCACTGTCTGATGTAGCTGGCTGAAAAATAGCTCTTAAACCACTTCTACCAAAGCGTTTACAAGGCTCATTTCAGCATAATTCTGCACTGAGAGGTCACAGTGGAGCAGAACAATTGATCTGTTCTAAGGTTTTCAATTTTTTTCCTTTCAGGTATCTGCCTGTGTATCTTCAACCAAAGTCCATAATGCTAGTTCCTTATTGTTGTTCCTGTGTCATTCAGTACTGCCACCTTAGAGCACATCAAGTTATTATGGAAAATTAAACACTTCAGCTGAATAAAATGAGCATTCATCTTATCATCGTTGGTATCAACAGTAAAAAATGAATAAATAATTTGAAAGAGTCACATCAGAAATCTTTAATTATGAACACAGATCTCTTAATAGTTTCTGCCTCTTAACAGCATCATCTTGCCTTCCAACAGACAAAAATCCCCGTGATTCCGAAAAATGATTCCTCAGACTCAATTCTGCTCTCTGTTTGCAATCCTGTAAATACAGCAGCACACAGAGATAACTAACTGTTGGGTTAGGTCTCATTTATATGCCTAAGAGTGGCGTGAAGCCTGAGTGCATCCTCCATAACAAATTCCTTAAGACATGCCTTTCTTCTTTCACTGCTTTTTTGACTGTTCAATGCTATTAGACGGGTGAAAAAATAGGAGAGTGTAGTCAGGCATGCACTGCCTGCTGCAGCCCTGCTAAATACTGAGTTGCAGTCTGGACTCAGCATATGAATGAGCAAAGAATTGTGCTTACCAAAGCTCTTAGACATGGAGGCATACTTCTTTGTACATACTCTTAATAAAAATTACTAGCTGTGGACTTTCATATTAGAAATAACAACCTGTGTGCATTTAAAAATTCTGTTTTCATGAATAGCCTCAGAAATACCTTCTGGCTAATGTTTACTCAAAACAACGCCTGGAATAAGAATTATTTCCTTCTATTAACGTATGTCCAAATGCCCATGTATTTTTTATACGAAGAATTAAGAGGCAGCACAGTTTCATGCAAAAATACATCTGCATGTTTAAATACAATTAGGTGTTCTTATTTTACCCTCCCTAGAGGCAGTTTTACTGACTTCTTTTCAGTTTGCAGAACATTTTCTCTCTTGTAAACACTCTTATGTTCCACAAAAGATGCCAGTTCTAAGAGAAAAAGAACTGCAAAGGAAGTTGGTTAAACAGTATTATCTGTTATGTACTGTGTTAGATTGTGTCAGATTTGACTGCAAAATAGTTAGTCTTTCTAAGTACGTTTTTGTTTGTTTGGGATTTTTTAATGATGTTAAGTATTATAAGACTTATTAGCTGTTGAAATATTGTGCCAGGTTCACTGGTGAGCCAATTCTTCAAGATCAAGTTAATGAAAGAACACAAGATTTATTTCTCTTTTCAGTTCCTTGATTACAAAAAAAAAGGGGAAAAAAAGGGAATTCCAGTATGTAGGGGGTTTTTTACGCATCATAGTAAATTTGTAACCAGATAGCTGTTGGCTGCTGTGAGCATTAATGATCTCATGAAGTAAGTTAGGGAAGTAAGTTTAGGGAAGTAAGACGGATGTCAAATGATACTGAGAGATATTTGTTTAATAAATGAACTGCAGTGAAAATGGGCATTTCTTGCTTTACTGCCCTCTACTGTATGCATTGATACACTGATCGTTCCCAGACCTTTGGCTGCTGATCCGGGTTATTGCCTCTGCCCCATTTCTGTAACCTCTCCTATCATCTACTGACACATCATTTTTTATTTATCTATCTTTTCCACTTCCCTTACTCCCTTCTGGTTTTATTTATTTTTGAGACATCAAGGAAAAAACCTTTTGATCAGTTCTGTCCTGGTAAAACAACCTCTCTCAGGTCCTCACTTGCCACAGTCCAGAGCTTGGGCTTTGTCTCTACAAATCCATTTCCCTCATTGCTGTTGAACTTCCAGGGGAACACTGCAACACCTCAGTGGTGCTCAAGGCATCTATAGAGTTCAGCAATGAATCGAGAATGAAGGCTGGGGAAGAGCATGATTCCCAACAGGGTCAGATATGCCCCAGCTCTTCCCACAGTTTTCTCCACTACTCCCCACTCCTGAATTGAGAAACTCTAGTTTCCAGGGAGAACAAATGACAGAGGACTGGAGGGAGAGTGGAATGATCCTGTGCTAACAGATCTTTCTGTGTCTACAACTTGTTATAAAGACAGCGTGAAAACTACAGGGATCCCATGTCTTGTGAGCTTAGGAGTAGACTGAAGGCAGAAGGATTTCATACCTATGATGCATGTGCTTGTGTCTTTGCTGAAACTGGAACTGAGTGGAACTGATGTGCTCCCTATGGAGATTAATTTATCCAGAATGTAATTTCCTGTTAAAATACTGTTTCAATGAAATATTTTGACCAAAATAATACCTATGTTGCAGAAATTTTCTGGAGCACAGAACATGTTTAACTATCAGACATCAGTACCCTGCAGAAAAAAGTTTTGAGATTACCTCATAGTCAGTTTACAAAAAGACCATTTATCTTTACATGTGCTCCCACTTTTTTTGACCAAAGTAGTATTTTGTCAACATAGATATAGCTTCAAATAACATACTTTGACAAAAAATAGTGGGAATATTCAATATCTTTGTTTACATGTATATACAAGAAATGAGGAAATTAACTTCTAAATTTCTATATTCGAAATGTGGATCCTTATGTAAGATCTAGGAGTAGGAACCTGTTTGAGTAGGAGAACAGTTTAGGATATTTTTGGAAAAAGGGGCAAGCTGTTCTCATTTCTATTCTTCATCATCATCACAAAAAAGTACACTTTTCAGAACAGTTTTACAAGGTGGTTGAGCATTTATAAAGGTGGAAAATGAGGAGGAAGCTTTTCAAAAGAGGCATTAATATTCTATCTAAAAATTAATATTCTTTCTAAAGTATTTTTAATCCTAGATAAAATACCTTAGTTTTGCAGATCTCTCTTGGGAGGAGGAGAAGAAAATCAGCCTCACCAAAAAAAAAAAAATTTTTTTTTAAATATACTGTTTTAAGAGTTTTCAAACAGCTCAACTTGCTAAGACTTCCACAGAAAAGGCTGCAGAACAGTTATATTTCTAGATGGAGCTTGAAATCATAGGTCTGTGATGAGAAGTGGATCTAAACAAAGTAATGTAAAGAAGGTAATACAGTGACTTCAGACAAGATTTTGATGAGAATTTAACTTAGCAATTTTCTAGCTAAACCATTGCTCTGTTAGCAGCAGATGCAGTTTGCTGACATTAATTTGAACTCATATGTCTGTTACTTGAATTTTTTTATGGTGAAGATCAGTAAACAAAGATGGTCTTCATCTGAAGCTGACTGAAACAGAATTATCTCTCCTTTGACACCAGCAGGCATTGCTTTTGATTGAAGTATACATCAAAATCTTCAGTCTGAATATCTAAGCAGTGGCAGCAATTAGAATAGCTATCTCTCCCATCTATCTTACAGCAACATCAAAAATATGCATTTTGTAAGTTACATCATAGAAAATAAAGTATGTTTTTAATCTCACTTCACTAATAAAATAAAAAAAAAAAAGTATGTTTAGATAGGAAATAACTTCTCCTTAGCCCTTATATTACCCGGGCATGGTTTATATAGGTTAGGCACAGATTTAGATCTAGGCACACCCACGTTTAATAGCTTGGTATACATGTGCAAAGTCATGTTATGTGAGTGCCTGGTGCCCAAGCCAGCTCCACTCTGGTCCCATGTCCCAGCCTGGCCTTTGTTGTCCCTAGGGAGGTGTCTGATACCCTGGTCTGACCTGGTTGCAGTGGCTGGGTGGTCATGACTACCAGGCCCTGCTATGCCTTCCCAGGCAGCCCCTGCAACCTCTGGCTCCCCAGCCCCTTGAGATTTTGATTGTAATATTGATACAACAAGCTAGGGGTTGGAATCTGACCTGAGCTGCAGAGGATCCAGGTGATTAGAAATTATAAGTTAAATTATATATTAAATTCCCCACCATGCTAGTTACAAATTGTACTATGTTTACTATGCTTTTAGAAATCCCATGGCATTCTAATAATAAATTCTCTTCTATATCAATCACAACATCCTGTTAAGAAAACAAAGTTTTAATTGTACCTATGGTTTAGTGCCATCCTGACTCTGCCAATATCCCCAAGGGAACCCATCTGTTTTGGGTGACAGTGTCACTTAGATAACACTGACATGTCTATTAACCAAGAACCTCATGGAGCTTTTTAGCAAGTGTGTGGAAAGGGCTGGATGTAGTATTTAGGAAATTGAAAGGGGTGGTATTCTGGGCAGTTGGATTCTGGATGCTGAGAAAGTTCTCAGCATTGCACACTCGGCCTGCCTTGCTCTAAGGAATATTACTAAATTAAAACTTCTGCTTGCAAATTAGGTTACTGTTTGTTTTGTTGGTGAGTTTTGAAAGAGGTTAATTGAAAAATGC